AAGCGCCGCTAAAAGGAGGGTCTAAGAAAGCGCTTTAAAAAAATGCTGCTAAAGGGGGGGGGGGGGTCTAAGAAAGCGCTTTCTAAAAGCGCTGCTAAAGGGGGGAGGGGAGGGGGGGTCTAAGAGAAACCCATGTAGATATAATTTATTTGTCATTCATTTGCAGTCTTTTAACTCTGTGGCTTAGTGACGAAGAATTATGAAATTTGGCGATAAAGAAGACACATATTGAATATATTTACATCTAACTTAATATATTTCAATGTTAAAATGGTAAATATCAAGAAATTATAGCTTGATTATTTATTTTATTTAATACCTATTTTATATAAAAAAATATGTAATGGATTATAGTCTTTTAGTTTTATTTTTTAATGGGTAAAAATCTAAAAAAATTTGATGGAGTAGAAAACTAAAATATAATTAATTTTTTACATATACTATAGTCTATTATATTTTTAGCTTAGAAATAAAAAATCTAAAACTTTGGGATGTTGAAGAAAAATATTGAACATTTTTAGATATAATATACAACGTTTCGAATATACGTAAAATCACTTTTCGAAAATATACAACGTTTGAGCAAACTTTGAAATAAATTTTGACCAGTTAAAATGCTCAGCTTGATCATAACGTGACTAAAAAGTTGTTGAAAAGTGAAACGAGCACACCGGGTTTAACTACACGAATCATATATTAATATTACTGATGTCTGCAAGCTTAATTTCGAATCTTTTCGTCAAGTGATTTTACGTATATTCAAAAAACAATTCAAACAATCTGTCTGTATATCCGAAAAATTATTCTGGTCGTCCTTTTAGGTATTATACATGATGAAAAACATGTTATGTTGTACAAATGATGCAAAGTGAAAATAAAGTTCGATGTATGAAAATTTTAAAAGACTCATACAAAATTGGGGTATGACACTATTGTGTCGTTGTTTATTTTATGTCTTCCTAACATTTTTGTATGTTATGTCTTTTTAACAATTTGGTAGAGTAACAAAGAGGTAATATGTAGTTTCTCTTAGATTAAGGCTCTAGCCACGATTAAATTTTTTTGTTGCCTTTATTATTTAGATTGTAATTGAGCTCCTCATAACTTTTCACGCATAAACATCATATTTGAAAATCTTTTTCATGCATAAAACTACTTTTTGACCAAGTCTTACCTTGTGAATTAAATCACTTAAGAGTGTAGACCGACTCCCATTACATTTGGTAGTTTATGTTAAAGTAAGTTGAATCATGCTTAGTGTCTAAATCGATTCATAACATTTACGAATTAACATTGGCTTGGTGATGGGACTCTTGATGTTAGGGAAATCTATTCACGTGAATTGAATCATGTCTCAATATGAACCAATTTATACCATTCAATCTCCCTACTAACTTGCTGAGTCGAGTCAGGAATTTGAGAAAGTCAACTCACTTGAATCGAATAACGTGCATCATGAATCGATTCATTTATGCATTGGTCATGTTTTATAAAAAGTTTAGGAAAATTAATTGAATCATTTCATATGTGAAACTATGGTATTTGGATCGAACTTTAGTGTCTTCAAGGGTATCTTCATAGTTCAACATGAGTTATGCATGATGTAGTCGAAATCTGTTCAAGTATGCTGTCGAAATATGTTTTGTTTTAAAGCATGTCGAATTGGGTCTTGCTTGTAAGCCCAATTGATAAGTTAGTTTATTAGTCTATACATAGACTAGTTCTCTGAGGTTGTTAATAAAGATTAATTGTTGTTATTCATTTGTAATCTTTGAACCCTTATTGAGTAAGTGAATAGTAAAACAACTTTTTTAATCAATTATAGTTCTTCTTATCCCTTCTTCTATCTCTTCTGTAAAACTTATAGGGTTTCTTGTTTTTGTTCAAGAAACTTACTCTTTCTCATATTTTGGTTTGTTTTTGACAACATCGACTCACAACAAACTGGTGTGGTAAGTGTGGAGGAGAAGATGTCGTCAACAAAGTATGAGATTTAGAAATTCACCAATGTGAATGATTTTAATTTGTGGCGCTTTAAGATGCAAGCCCTACTGGTTAAGAAAAGTTTGTTAGAAGTGTTGAAAGGATCAGAGAAGATAGATCTTGCCCTAACGGAGAAGGAGAAGACGATGATGATTGAGAAAGCCCACAATGCAATCAATTGAGCTTTGGAGATAAAGTTCTCCGACAGGTCTCGAAAGAGAAGACAACAACCGGTGTATAGACGAAAATCAAAGGTCTGTACATGACGAAATCGTTGGTCAATCGCCTCTATCTGAAATAAGCTTTGTATTCGTTCAAGATAAGTGAAGACAAAGTCTTAGCTAAGCCGCTAAATATGTTCAACAAGTTGATTCCTGATCTTGAAAATATCGAAATCAAGATTGATGATGAAGATCAAACATTGTTGTTATTGTCTCCTAAATTCATGATGAAGCGATAACTAGTTGAATTGATTGCAACATATCTCTGCGTTCGCTTTGAACGATCTTGATAGTGAGATTTGAAGAAGTTGCTAACAATAGAGTTGGATAATGATCATGAATTCGCGGAAGACATATAAATTAGAAGTCGATTCGTCATTGATTTGGCGACCTAAATAGGTTACGAATTGGTAAATTAGAGATTAAATATGAAATTGTCAAAATCGTAGGAATCAAAAGTCGTTACTGTTGCGTTTGTGAACCAGAAATGGATGCAGTTAAAAAAATGATGATCTTGAATAGTGACTTCGATCTCCTTTATGATAGCACAAGGCATACTTGCATGGTTAACACTCTAATGGTCAAGTTAGTTTAAGATTCAAGATGAATGTAGTGAAAAATAAAGATCAGAGATTGTATGTTGCTCTTAATGTGTGAATTAATTTTATACTTTAGATAAAGAGAAATGAATTTTAAATATATTAAACTTAATCATTTTGACGGTTCATGTGGACTATATTTTCCTTTGACGCCCATATATAAATATATATGTCTAGAAATACATATCATACATGTTTGCAAGTTTGATGCTAAAATACAAATAAGTTCCTTGTAGCACATTGTATACATCACGTGCCAAAATATAAAATTTAAAAACCATGGCATAATATACACAAGATGCTCCAAAAGACTAAGAACTAGATCATATCAAATAATCTCAAAATAGAGTCTTCACAGCAGAAATAATGTCATCCAAAAATGCTAAGACAAGCAAGGACATCAAACGACTTTGTCCTTACCCTTCACAGAACTTGAACCACTTGAAATATAATCAACAATATGGGGTGAAATAATAATCCCAGTGAGTTCCCTATGTTATGGATTCTCTTGGCTTTACAAGGTTTTAACCAATCCTAACTCAAGTCAAAAAAGAAAGGGACAAGACTTGAGTTCACAACTTCACACTATACAGAAACATGATGCATGAGTTCAACAATTCAAACTATCACTAATCGGAAACCTTACCAAGACATCCATTTTTCCGTCCTCTCCTACGTCTAAGAGTTTGGCGCGGGTCGTGGATCCTTGCAAACCTTGACATACGAAATGGATTCGGATCCAAGGGAAATATAATTCACATGAATTGCCATTTTAAAGAGAAATATAATACTAGCGTTCAGACAATCACTTTTCGTGCTTGTTTGTCCGCTTTTTTAAAGATGTATGCAGATAAAAATATAAACGGTAATTTTTATGTGTATTTATTTTTTATTTTAATTTAAATTATTCATAAAAATTGAATGAAAAAGTTATACAAACCGACATATAACGATTAGCAAAAGAGAAGTTAAAATTAAAAAAAAAAATTATAACAAAAATAAGATACACCAAAATTAAATTTTATCTTTATTTTTATATATGTTTGAGATATTATATAATATGTGACATGGATGAGAGGAACGGGCCATAGCTCATGGTTACCCTCCTTTTGACTCGTCATGAGTGTAATACATAACTTATCATATAAAAAAATATTTTAGAAACTAAGTGATTGTTAAGTAAATGTTGAATATTCAAACCCTTCTTCAATAATTTTGGCCAAATTTTATCTACTTTATTTATAGTTGAATTTGGAATGATCAAAATCCAATTTTAAGTGTTACCATACGAAAAATCTAAGAACTCATTTTTTTAATTACTAAAACTAAAGTGTTCAAATAAAAAAGACAAAACATGATAAATTAGGTAAGCAAAATATTAACACAAAAAAAGACACTATAATTTGATGACATATCCAAACATGAAGATACTTTAGTGAAGTGAATATGTACCGAAAAGAAAACAAAACACAAAAAATTACTTATAACTTAATTTATGCAAAAATTAAATTGATTGTACTATTCATTATAAAAATTACTTATGTCTGTCAAAATAAATACAAAATAAAATGTTTAATAAATACAAAATAAAATAACAATAATATTAAAAAAAAAATGAGCATGGTAAAAGATAAAAAAAAATTGGAGTACATATTGAGTGTGAAATGTAAATAGGTGTCACAAAAACCGCAACTTCTCCACAGAAACCTACTCCTTCTTTTCTGTTTTGACCAACCTTAACCTTAACCTTTCACATTAACCTCTCTCTTCTCTCATCTCACTCTCTCTCTTCAATTTTCTCTCTCCTCCACATTCTCCCTATTCTGGTCTCTCTTTCACTCTCGCTCCCATTCTTCTCTTCTTCTCCCTCCCCCTTCTTCTTCTCTCTCTCTATTCCTTTACATCACACTACCTTCATCACCGTTCAACAAAACCCTAATTTCACTCTTCAGGTACTTACTTCACTCTCTTCTCTAATTCATGTTTTTCACTTCAATTTCTGAATCGATTTTTTTTCAATTAACGATGTTGTTGTTATTCTTGTGTTTGATTTTATGTTTATAACGGTTTCGTGGATCTGTGTATTTGGATTTTCAGGAAGGTTTGAAGAAGAAGAATTTTTATAATTTTTCTTCTTTTGAATTGTTTTTATTGTTTGTGAAAAATAGCGTTTTGAGGGATTACAAGATTGGTATATATGTCCTTCAATCAATCAAAAACCGAAAAGAACGACGCCGCTTATCGAAAGTCCGGGCGATCGTCTAGCTTCAATCAGCAGAGAGGTCCTTCAGGCGCACATGGAAGGGGCAGCGGCGGACCCGCGCCGTCGAACAACTCTGCTAATCCACTCTCCTCTAATAGGAGGTGAGTTAGGGTTTACTAATTTACAATTATTTGTGTTTTAGGTTGTTTTTAATTAATTTTCCATTATTTGTGTAGTTTTTATTTATGGAATAGTGTTGGTTGGTGTGGATTGGGAAACTAGGGTTGCTTTGTAGAATTTGTCTGATTTTTATGGTAAAAATAATCACTTTTATAGTCTTTCTTTTATTTATGGAATCAATGGATGAAGTTCACACTTCATATTAAGATAAAATGCTTCAACATATGACACAAAGGGCCATGCTAACATGGTACATGTTAAGGAATCAACAAAATATAAATTTTGGCTTGAAAAAAACAATTTTTTTTACTTTTCTCTATTTAGCGTAGGACAATGTTAGCATTTCCCTAAGAAAAATTGCTATATAACAATATGAATCTGTGAAAACTTACTATTTTGTTATTTTTACAAAGTTATAAAAATCCTTGTTTTGCTTCATGTAATTTGATGATTTTTTATTTTGTTTAACAGTTATCTTCACTCTGTTCCTATAGTTATCTTCGCTCTGTTCCTATTTTATTGATTATTTGTGTTGCGTGTTTCAGTTTTAACAAGAAGTCTAATAATGCACAAGGTGGGCAATATAGGGTGAACCCTTCTCAAGTGAATTCAACAGAGTCAAACAGTGCTTCTGCTGCTCGAACCCTGCATAATGGTACTCATGTACAACCACAATTGCATGGTAAGCTTTACCATGAGTTTTTATTAAATTTTAAAAAATGTCTCATTCTTCTCGTCATTGTTTTTTGGTGTCTGGTTATGGTGTTCAGTAACAGGTTACTGCAGTGGTAGAATATGCAAATAATGTTTTTGTTTGTATTTGGTAAATTATGGTTGTGTTTGTATATGTAATTCATTAGTTTACGTGGTAGGATAGGAGCATCTGATGGGCCGGTTGCAAAGGCATCTGAATCAACCACCGCACAGAGGAGCCCTAGAGTTGTTCCAAATCCAACTTCTCAACCACCCCCCGTGAGCTCTGATAAAACCACTCCTACAGGCCCTGCTAAGGGTATGTTAGTCTTGTAGGTTTATCTTGTGGTACATTAGATGTGGATTAACTCCTATTTTTTTTGTTAATTGTAGATTGGGCCACATGAATGTGTGCTGACAATTTGATTTGTTTGTCTATTGCTTTATGTTTGCTTTGGCTGTGATAGTTGAGTAATCAAAATATTTGTCTTTCTCAGGAGATGCATCAAAGGCATTCCCTTTTCAGTTTGGATCGATTGTTCCTGGCTTTATGAATGGAGTGGCTGTAAGTTCTGCTATATTATTGTTAAATGTTTGGTTTATGTGTTCAATTGAATTGTAGGGTGAGTGATGATGATGATGTTATTATAATATGCAGATTCCCGCTCGTACAAGCTCAGCTCCTCCTAATTTAGATGAGCAGAAGCGTGATCAGGTATTCACTTTTATTCTGTCACTTTCTCCCTGATGTCCATACTTTTGTATAGTTTCGGATGGAGTTAGTGCCACTTCCCAATGCTTCCAAAGGAATGATATGAATGGATATTGTTTTTGGAAATGAATCTAAAAGAGGAGGTCATAGCAAGTTTTCTCTACATGAAGTTAGCTCCCGTTATGTGTTTTCACTTTTCATAGCAAGTTTTTGCCTGATTATATTCTCTAAAACTTTCAGGCTCATCATGACTCTGTTAGATCTGTGCCTTCAGTGCCAATACCTCCTGTTCCAAAGCAGCAGCAGCAACAACCACCTAGGAATGATTCAGGTGTAACTGAGAAATCTAATGCCAAGGAGACTAATGTGGGGGCTAAGGCGAAGAAGGACCCTCAAGTTCCAGCTTTGATCCCGGCAAGCCAGATGCTGAAGCCTTCTGTTCCTGCAACTGGGATTTCAATGTCTACACCATTTCAGCAGTCACATGCATCTTTACAGTTTGGTGGTCCTAATCCGCAGATTCAATCTCAGGGGATGTCCTCGACACCCCTCCATCTTCCTATACCAATGCCTATACCAATGGGGAACGTTCCCCAAGTGCAACCGCCGGTTTTTGTTCCTGGTCTTCAGCCTCATCCAATGCACCCTCACGGGATCATGCATTCAGGCCATAACTTAAGTTTCACTCATCAAATGGGCCATCAGATGCCCCATCAAATGAGTAACATGGGCATTGGCATCAGCCCTCAATATCCCCAGCATCAGGCTGGAAAATATACTCCTCGGAAGACTACTACAGTCAAAATAACTCATCCTGAAACGCATGAAGAGCTCAGGCTTGATAAAAGGGCAGGTGGATATTCAGATGGTGGGTCATCTGGTGCAAGGTCACATCCTAATGTACCTTCCCAAACCCAACCTGTTAAATCCGTTGCCGTTTCTCAGCCTACAAATTATCATCCTTATAGTTCCAGTCCTCCCTATTATCAACCTTCTAGTTCTCTTCCATTAACAAGTAGCCAGATAACTCCGAACGCTCAGCCACCAATATTTAATTATCCTGTGCACAATGGTCCACAAGGTCCACAAAACGTGGCTTTCATTAATTCACCGTCTCTTAGTTCTCTGCCAGTTAATCAAATAAGCCCTCCTATTCCTAGCATTGCTGAACCCCCCATTGCGGAACGTTCTCGTCAGGTGCCTAATGTGACGGCATCAGCTTCATCGGGGGTTGCTTCCGTGACTATTAAACCAAATGGCGTGTCTGCTGTGAAGGACTCGTCGTTGACTAATTCTAGTGTTTGCGGTGTTCAAAATACCGAAGCTCGTAGTTCAGTATCTTGCGATGCTAGTTCCCCTTTACCCGAAAAAGTATCTGAAACTTTCTCAGAAGTCTCTCCGCAACTGTCTAAATCTTCTGAGGAAATTTTGCCAAAACAATCTGCCGCATCTGTTGTTGTCACTGCTGATAAGGTTACAGTGCTACCTACGTTAGCTGTGCCAGAGGATTCTGTTTCTGTTTCTGTTGTGACAAATAATGAATCCAGCACGAGGGAACCTATTAGTCGGTCCAACTCTTTGAAGGATAACCAGAAGAAACCTGGGAAAAAAGGCCAATCATCTAAAGATCAGGTATACATTTGAATTAATTTTAACTCATTATTTGGGTGTTGGTATAATTGAACATATAGTGTTGTACTTTTCAACTTTTCCCGCAGGTTTCTTTGCAATCTCCTACTGTGGCTATTATGCCGTCTCGAGCTGTTGACAGTGATATATCTGAATCTGGGGTTTCCACACCTGTAGGAAGTGAAACAAACCACTCTCCTTCAGCTGTTGCTCAAGTGGCTGATAGTTTGAGTAATCATAAGCATGATCTGATAGATGAATCATCCGAAGGTGAGAATTATTATAAAATGATGAACTTGATAAATTCCAAAAAAATATTAAATGTGACTAAAAAATTTAAACAAACTGAAAATATGCTGCAAATTTAAGCACTGAGGTCTTAACCTTTAAAACAATACAGAAAGGACAGGAAGCATATGCTAGTTAAGTCAGAAGGTGACAGGATAGGTGATAATTTGGGTGCATCTTACCTCTACTGCATTGAGTTCTAGTAATGTCTCTTTAGGTAGAAATGATAGTGTAGTTTCTAATGGGTATTTTTATTGAAATTTTGAAGCAGATCTTCAGTCTGCTGATTTACCAGAAACAACAGCAAAGGAAATCAATGATAGTGCAGATAATGCTTGCAGCGACTCAATGTCAGTTTCAGGAACCAAGGATACACCAAATTTAGAACCAAATAAGGTGAAAACTACATCTAAAGGGAAGAAGAAACTAAAAGAGATTCTCCAGAAAGCAGATGCTGCCGGGTCAACTTCTGATCTTTATAATGCATACAAAGGACCCGAGGAAAAGAAAGAAACTGTTTCAATTTCAGAGAGCACAGAAAGTGAAGCTACATCTGAAGGGTTAAAGCAGTTATCTGCAGATTCTGCTCAGTTAGATGCTACCGTAAGTGAGAAATGTGGTCACTCTAAAGTCGAACCTGATGACTGGGAGGATGCAGCTGACATGTCTACAAAAATTGAAGTTGAAGATAAATCTCAACAGGTCATTGATGGAAGTGGAAGTACAGCAAAAAAGTATTCACGTGATTTTCTTTTGAAATTCGCAGAGCAATGCATTAGTCTTCCTGATGGTTTTGAAATTACAGCAGACATAGCTGATGTTTTGGTTAGCGCCAACTTTAGTAATTCTCGTGATTCACATCCTAGTCCTGGAAGAACTGGAGACAGGTCAAGGATGGAACGCCGTAGTAATGTTGTGGCTGAGGAAGACAGATGGAATAAAGGTTCTAATTCTTTTCATTCTGGGCGTGGTATGGATGTCACTGGTAGTAATGGTGGACCTCGGCATGGCCAAGGAGGTAATTATGGTGTTTTAAGGAATCCTCGTGGCACGGCACCCCTCCAATATACCGGGGGAATCCTTGGTGGGCCAATACAATCTGTGGGAAGTCAGGGTGGAATGCAAAGAAGTAGCCCTGATGGGGAGAGGTGGCAGCGTTCTCCTAGCTTCCAGCAGAGGGGCTTAATTCCTTCTCCCCAGTCTCCCTTACAGATGATGCACAGGGCCGAGAAGAAGTATGAAGTGGGTAAAGTCTCAGATGCGGAAGAGGCAAAGCAGAGGCAACTGAAGGCTATCTTGAACAAACTAACTCCTCAGAATTTCGATAGACTTTTTGAACAAGTAAAAGCAGTTAATATTGACAATGCAGTCACTCTCACTGGTGTCATCTCACAAATCTTTGAGAAGGCTCTGATGGAACCTACCTTCTGTGAAATGTATGCCAACTTCTGCTCACATCTGGCTTCTGAATTACCTGATTTGAGTGAGGACAATGAAAAGATAACTTTTAAAAGGTTATTATTAAATAAATGCCAGGAGGAATTTGAGAGGGGTGAAAGAGAACAAGAAGAGGCAAATAAGGTTGATGAGGGGGAGGTCAAGCTGTCAAATGAAGAAAGGGAGCAAAGAAGAACAAAGGCAAGAAGGCGCATGTTAGGAAATATCAGATTGATTGGAGAACTATATAAGAAGAAAATGTTGACAGAAAGGATAATGCACGAGTGTATCAAAAAGTTACTTGGTCAGTGTCAGGATCCTGATGAGGAAGATGTTGAAGCTTTGTGCAAGCTGATGAGTACTATTGGGGAGATGATTGACCATCCCAAAGCCAAGGAACATATGGATGTATATTTTGAAAGGTTGAAAATCTTGTCAAACAACATGAATTTATCTTCTAGGGTGAGGTTTATGTTGAAGGATGTAATTGATTTGAGAAGGAATAGATGGCAACAAAGGAGGAAAGTTGATGGTCCAAAGAAGATTGAAGAAGTGCACAGAGATGCTGTGCAAGAGAGGCAGGCTCAAGCTCAAGCTGGTAGGATGGGTCGCGGTATGGGTAACAATCAATCTGCAAGAAGGAACCCTATGGATTTTGGTCCTAGAGGATCATCTATGTTGTCTCCGCCTTCTCAGACGGGTGGACCGCGTGGGATGTCTTCTCCAGCCCGTGGATATGGTGGTTTACAAGATGCTCGTTTTGAAGAAAGGCAATCTTATGAGCCTAGGACTTTGACAGTTAATTTACCTCAAAGACCCTTAGGTAATGATTCTATAACATTGGGACCCCAAGGTGGTCTTGCTAGGGGAATGTCCAGCAGAGGATCAACAACAATTTCAAATTTCTCAATACCAGATGTGCATTCTGGCCCTGGAGACTCTCACAGAATGCAGAGTGGTATTAATGGTTATAACAATTCATCTGAGCGCATGCCGCATGGCTCAAGGGAGGATCCTGCATCAAGATATATTTCAGACAGATCTTCAAGTCTAGCTGGATATGATCATTCAAATGCTCCAGAGCATAATATAAACTATGGTAACAGAGACTTGAGGAATGATGATCGGAATCTTGGCAGACCAGTTGCAACTTCACCTCACCCTCAGTTGCAGGGGCCAGTTGTCTCCCAAAATGCTTCCTCAGAGAAGGTTTGGTCAGAGGAACGACTCCGGGAGATGTCCTTGTCAGCAATCAGAGAATACTACAGGTACTGTTTTGTCTTTGTGGTGTTTCTATCTTTTTGGTTACAGCTTTTGTTTATCACAGTTTATCTCATGAAATCTGAGACCTACAAGTGTTTATTACAGTTTAGCTGTTCATTTTATTTCAATTTGGATTAGGTTTCTATCACTATTTGGATATAGCTTTATACCGTCTCATCAGTAAATCTGCTGGGGAAAATTATTATGTTTCATACTTTTATCAATCTTTTCGTTTATTTGCTTGTGTTTTTGGACTACAAGTGTTAATTAGTTGTTTGGTTTAGGGGGAAAACAAATTTACCACCTTATTTCTTTTTCTAACTCTATAGTTTAAACAAAAATAGGTCATGATTAGATTAAGTTAATTATTTCATAGCTTTTAATAATATGATTAATTCCCAAATGATTTTTTTAGAAAACGGTAAGCAAATTTTATGGAGTTAAATGATGTTTCCCTGTAGTATTTCTTTTTGTCTTCCCTGTTCCTCGGAGGACTAAATTTCCCTTGATTGTTAATATCACATTAATGGACGCAGTGTCCTACACACATTTTGTAAAGAGAAAGGAGATATACTTGAAATTGTTTGCTTTGCTAGATTGAATTCAGTTGTGTTGTTGTTGGGATGTTGTGTACTGTAGATGCTTGTGATTTGTCACAAAATAATTGCCCAAACCTGTCTAGTGCATGTCCTTGCCAATGAAAAATAGTTGTAGTAGAACTCCTGATGAAGAGTGTCTAAGAATGTCTAACACAAGTCTAATGCCTGATGGTATTGGAAAACTGTCTGACACTCTGATACCTCAAGAAATAGTAGACACAAGTCGAATGCTTATTTCCCATTTATTATGTGTGTATCAAAGATTTAACTGAAATTTTTACAATTTTCAGTGCTAGAGATGTAAGTGAGGTTGCTCAATGTATCAAAGATTTGAACTCTCCAAACTTTCATCCTTCCATGGTTTCTATCTGGGTGATAGACTCGTTTGAAAGAAAGAACACTGAAAGAGATCTTTTGGCCAAACTGCTTGTCAAACTTGGGAAATCTCAGGATGGCCTTTTGACTCAAACTCAGTTTATCGAAGGGTAAGATTTATTTCACCATATATCGAGTTGTTGAGAATAGATACATGTATATTTTTTTGTGAAAACATATCTCATGGTATTTTTTCCCTGTTATGTTTGGCCAGGTTCGAGGCAGTTCTCAGTGATTTGGAGGATGCTGTTAATGATGCCCCGAAGGCGCCGGAGTTTCTTGGCTGTATTTTTGCAGAACTTATAACAGAGAGTTTAGTCGGTTTGAATGAGATTGGGCATTTAATACATGATGGTGGAGAGGTGCCAGGTAGTCTCTTAAAATTTGGACTTGCAGCTGATGTTCTTGGAAGCACATTGGAGGCTATAAAACATGAGAAAGGGGATGCCGTTCTAAATGAGATTCTGACAAGCTCAAATTTGCAGTTGGAGTCTTTCCGACCACCTAATAATTCCAGTACATCAAGGAAGTTGGAGAAGTTTATTTAGATAATAGTGATGCTCAATGTATGTTTTTTACATACATAAAGGGGGGGAAATGAAAATGATTTTGTCCAGTGCTTTTGAGGGGTGCTCAACTTGCTGAGAAGATTTTCTTTCTCATTGAGATATGAGTGGGGTTGAATGTTATAATATTATGGGATTTCTTGTCTTAATCTTATTTCTCCTACATCTTCATTGCAATTGTAAAAGGCTCAATTAATCCTCTGAAATTTTTAGGCTGAAGCTACTATATCCATTTGGTTATAGCCTTTTATTTATTTTTCTATAAATAGTTTTGAAGAGATATTTTATGAATATGTTGCCATGCTTTTGAATCGGACCTCTTTGAGTGAAAAAAGGGTTCTATGGGTATTATAAAAAATTATGTGACATTATGCAATAATTATTTCTACTAATATATTCCTAAAACAAATATTTCAACGAAGTTTATACCAATCATATTCTCTATCTAATTTTCTTTATAGAAGTCAAATGTATTACGTTCATTTTCCCATCTCTTGAAATTTGCTCCCTTTATAATTTTGACTATTATTTTTGAAAATCTTAGTTTGGTTGTATTTTCTCAAAAATAGACTGAAAAATCAATAAGCTTTGAATTTTTTTGGTAAGAGAGAGTTTCATTTTTTATTTTAAACCATTATTTTCTCATCTTTTTGTCGGATGATGATTATTCTGTGTGTTGCAATAGATTAGTAAAAAAAAAGCTTCTTTTGAATCCTTTTTGAAAGTTAACTTTAATTTATATTTAAGATTGAATGGTATAAATACTAAAAGTCAAATTAGAATAGTAAGAGCTAAGTGCGTTTATTTTCATATCCTAATCATAAAATAAACGTATGTGTTAAAAACCAGCCTAGAATGATAAAGGCAAAATTCTAAACAATAAAAAATTGGTTCTTATAAAAGTTCCAATTTCTCAAACAAGGGAAAGATAAAACTCCAAAATTTAGATATGGTGAAGAATCGATTTGTGTTGATTCATGGAGCAAAAGCTATGGTGTTTCAACTCTTCTTAAATCAGCTTGTCATGATGTTACAACTTTGGACCTGGCTTCTTGTGGTATCAACACAAAACAAGTCCAAGATATTTGTTCAATATTAGATTAGAATGAACCTTTGTTCACTTTCATGGAGTCTCTTTCTTCACATGAAAAAGTGATTCTTGTTGGTCACAGTTTTGGTGGAATCCCCATTTCCCTTGCTATGGAAAGGTTCCCTCACAAAATCTCTGTTGCAGTTTTAGTTGCTGCTTTTGTTATAAGTGAAAATCCCACTTACCCCAATATTGTTCAAGAGGTACTTTATTTTCTTTTATTTCCCTTTTTCTCATGTTTAATTTTGTTTGCTATTTTATGTTTTTATTTATTTAATTAGACTAATTCCTCCGTTCATTATCATAAATAAATTTTAACTTTTAAAATTGTATTTTAATAACTTAGATATTTGATCTATATCCAGATCATATAGTTCAATGAATATGTGAAATCAAAATTGATTTATAACCAGAAATAAAGAGTAAGAGTGACAAAAGAGCATATTCGTCCCGTTTAATCTAGCTTTGCAAAAGTCCGTATACAGGGTGGGGTGGACCGAGTTTAGTAGAGGGTGCAAACCTAAAATTATGGCCTGTCCCAAAAAAAAAAATGAGAGAGGAGATAAAGAAATGAAGACTAACAGTGATAAAAGGGGATATGAAGAAATGAAGACTAACAGTGATAAAAGGGCATGTTCGTTCAGTTTAATCTAGACTCGCAAAAACCCGCATATAGGATGAGATGCATCAAGCATAGTAAAGCATGTAGGCCTAAAATTATGGTCTTTTCTACAAAAAAAAAAGAGGGAGCAGGGAACCTAAAAATTTGCAAAATTCATGCAAATGCTTGTGTGCGCCAAAACATGTAAAAAAACCAGATGGTTCATAATAGACAAAGTAGAGTGTACGAGCTTAAAACCTCGATCCGTCAGAAAAAAATATGGACAAAACAAGTCTACCCGTTAGATTGGACCCGTTTTGCCATCCCTAATAAAGAAAGTATAAATTTATCTTTTAAAAATGAATAAGTAAAATGTCATGAGTTTTTTACATACATATAAGGGGAAATAAAAATGATTTGTCTAGTATTTTTGAGGGGTGCTCAACTTGCTGAGATGATTTTCTCATTGAGATATGAGTGGGGTTGAATGTTATAATTGTTGAGAATGTAGCAAGTGTGAGTAACAATCTTGAATATTGGGTGCAAGTGTGAGTGGTTAAACTCCCACATTGTCGATAAACAGATCCTCTCTCTTATAAATCTAACATTCCATCCATTTATCGACAATGTGAGACTTTAATCACTCACACTTGCACCTAACATTCTGTTGGGGTTGGTTGAAAATATGCATATTGATACTATTTATGGTGGATTATGATTGTCGGTGAAGACAATGAAAGCTTATGTATTATTTTCAATCAAGGTGGAGATTTTTGGGGTTGGTTGAAAATATACATTTTGAAGAAGTCTCACATCGCTTAGTTTTGTGAATGAAGAGGGAGCCTAAGACTATATATAGGATACAAGTTTTTTAAAGTCCCACATCGCTTAGCTTTCTGAAGGAAGAGGGAGTCCAATCCTATATATATATATATATATATATATATATATATATATATATATATATATATATATATATATATATATATATATATATATATATATATATATATATATATATAATTTAAGTTCTTCATTATAAGATGTACGAGTCAAAAGCACTTTAATCTTATATTTGACTTTATTTGTTCTCTTATACTCTTGTATTATAGTGTTTTGGTACTGGGGGACGGGGTTAGTTGAAGGTATATTATGTGTTGTAATAATTTTCACATAGTGTTATTCTCTGGTTATCTAGTGACAACTGTCGTGGTTTTTTTCTCCGGTTTTGGAGTTTCTAGGTTATGTTCTTGTGTTAATTTTTCTCTCTATGCTTTGTTTTTTTTTTTTTTCTAACAACTGGTATGAAAGCTTTTGGTTTGATTCGAGGATAAGTGTTCTTAGTATGCTCCGTGGTTTTCACATCACAAAAGAAAGGTAGTATTGTGAAATAGTTGTTGAAACATGTTCTGGAACAGATGTTGCATCACTTTTCTCCTCTTCTAACTGCACATTAAGACAGATAATAAGTTTCACTTTTCTCGTATTTTAATTTCATCCTAATAAAGAATTTATATATACTTACTATTTTCTGTTGTAAGTGTGCATATCACAAACACCCTTTTTTGTATGGATACGCGGGTTTTGATGCTCGTTGCTGATTTATGTCACTCACAACCTGAAAAAAAACAAGTTTAAGCCATATCAGAACTCATGTGAAATAAGTATATATATTATACATTGTTCATGATAAGATAAAATTACATGGAATTTTTTAGTTCTTCTCTTGGCAACAAAAGTCTCCCATTCTTCAAGTGAAATCAAATCCACATACTTCTTTGGTCGCTCTGACTCAACAAAGTTTCCATAAGAATCCTTAAGAAACTTGTTCGTTAAAAATGCTCAAAATCCTCTAAGTCTTTTTCCGGCTAATTGAAGACAATATTTTTTTCCGGTTGTCATCAATATTAAAAGACCTCTGCAAATTAAACAAACTAACATATATATATATATATATATATATATATATATATATATATATATATATATATATATATATATATATATATATATATATATATATATATATATATATATATATATATATATATATATATATAGTGTGTGTGTGTGTGTGTGTTAGTATAAATAATTTAAAGACATAACCGTCAACAAAATTAAATAATGTCAAATATGATACCTGTATCTCACTCTACATTTTTTTAGCGGGTTTCAACGATGGGATTCTCCAATTATCACAAGTGATTGGAATTTGCGAGCGAACAAGTGCACCAATGTAACTTTAATAACATCGCACCGTTAGGCTCAATTGATTTGAAGTTTTGTTGATGTATTTTAGATTGATTTGTTAATGGAGGGGTAGTATAATTTTTGTATTAAGGTGGATTTTGGGTGAATGGTCGTGTTGGATAAAACAAAAATTGTTGGTGTGGTGTTTGAAAGTTGTAGTTTGATTGATGTGTAGGTTGTATGTATGAGTATGAATTAAAGGGGTTGGTGTATGGTTTTTGTTGTTGAAAGTAAGGGTTAAATTGTTGTTGTTGTGTGTTAAACATGTTTTATAGTGTATGTTAATAAACGGTTGAGGTATGTTGGTGTAAGTAGATTGTGTTGGGATATGTGTTAGGGGATGATTGAGTATGTTTGAAGTTTTAAAAAGATGTTCATTCATGTGAGTTAACTAGTAACCTATTTTTGAAGAGATATAAAGTTGGAATCAATCTATACCATGTCATGTACTCACTAATTTGTTTACATTTTATTAACATGATATAATTTTTTTTAAAGGAAACATATTTCATTAGACTGAAGAAACATTACACAAAGTAGAGCCTGCCGTAGGTGGAATACATTCAACCCAAGTTCTTGAACCTACAAGATTGCCCATCCTAACTAGATGATGAACATCCTCAATATGGTTCCTATTCAGATACATGATGTAAGCCTCCTAAAAACTACTCAATAACAATAATATCTAAAGGCACTGAGAATAACATGCAACAACATCATTTGTTTCCATTAACAACATCAACAACAACATTAACATCAACACTAACAACAACAACTTCAACATAATTTGTTTCTATCAATAACATTTTAAAAAACTTCAAATACCTTAAAAATTGTGGAAATGGCTGACAGAGGAGGTGGAGGACGAAGACGGGCGGACGAAACGGACGGACGGAGTCAGAAATGCAGAACACGACGGACAACTACTGAGGACGACGACGATTTGTGGCGGTCGGACGAACACAAAGGACGGAAGTGGTCGACGGATGGAGTAGGGCACTATCGCGAGTGGGAGCGAAGCTTTAAGAAAAGACTCTTCCGTTCTGAAAAATTCTGAGTTTTTTTTTAAATTTATGCTACTTAAACATAAGGCAGTGCTTCTGCATGGCCTTTAGCAGCGCTTTATAAAAGCGCTCTCTAAGGTCTGCCTTAGGCAGACCCTATAGCAGCGCTTTTATAAAAACGTTTTCTTTTGTACACCCTATACTGCCACCTTTAACAGCGCTTTTAGAAAGCGCTTTCATAGGTTACCCCTTTAACAGCGCTTTCATAGGTTACCCCTTTAACAACGCTTTCTAAAAGCGCTATCGTAGGTACCCCATTTAGCAACGCTTTTAGAAAGTGCTTTCGTAGGTACCCCATTTAGCAACGCTTTTTATAAAGCGCTTTCTATTGTTAGCCATAACTGCCACCAGCGATTTTACAGAAAGCACTGTCTTTTCTGTGCTGCTAAAAATCATTTTTGTAGTAGTGCCGCTGACCCAAACCGAACTAACCCATAAATTACTCGAATCCATTTATTTACGGGAATACCCAACCCAACTTGTATAATTTTGATTCAGATATTAGGTTTGAGTTTTGAAATCCACGGACCCATTGACCCAAACCATTGATGTCACTTTAGAAATTTCTTATTATTTGTTTAATTACTTTAAATACGAATATAAAATTAATATCTCACTAATAATCCTAATTTTTCAAAAAAAAATTTATTCTCCAACAATAATACTACTAGACCAATGAGTTTACGTAATTCTAAGATTAAATTCTTTTTTTTATTTTCTTTTTTTATCATTTCTAAATTATGTATTTTATTGAAATAACATATTTTGTTGTATCATGTTTCTCTCAAACATAATCTGAAAGTAGAGGATGTAAGTTATGTTTTACAATGGTGGAAGGACCTTTTTGTTAGAAAATTTGAGCTGATTACTAATCTGCTTATGCCTATCCAGGGTACTAATCTCTTCTGGGCAGGCAAGGATCCACCTTAGGTACTTTAAGGGCAGCTGCCCCCACTTGTTGTTTATAATGTTAAAACAATTTTAATAATTTTATTTTTTACTTAATTAAATTCAAATGTTTCCCCCATAAAAAAATCAATATTTTTAAGTCTTTAATAGTTATATATTAATAGTGTAATAAAATTTTCAACTATAATCTAATAAAATATATCATTTTATCATATTATATAAGTAATTTAAAGATTTCAATTTGATTTGACGAAATAGATGATCGTCATTAATTAACAATATAAAATTAATTTATACCGTCGATGTATCATTCATTTCTCTATTTTAAAAAATAATAATTTTAAAACTTTAAAATATAAAAATCTTTAAAAAATATTTCTTAGATATTAAGTATGTCTTATATTTTATATATAAAATAACAAAATTTTAGTAGTGTCTAAATTTTTTACTTAATAAATATTATATATTTATTTTATCATCACTTTTATAATTATATATATATATATATATATATATATATATATATATATATATATATATATATATATATATATATATATATATATATATATATATATATATATATATATATATATATATATATATATATATATATATATATATATATATATATATATATATATATATATATATATATATATATATATGCGGTGAAGAGAAGTCAGTCCAAAGTAATTTATAAGTTCTAGAAATTCATTTCCCAAGAGTAGGGATGGATTTAGAAATTTTAGTTATTGGTATATATATATATATATATATATATATATATATATATATATATATATATATATATATATATATATATATATATATATATATATATATATATATATATATATATATTGAAGATAATATGTTGCGTGTACGTTTCTTTTTATATGATAGAATAAATAAATATATATATTAAAAGCAAGCCAAGTATTCTAATGCGGAAATTCTAAAAAAATTTATTTCTCAATTTCTAAAGATAAATCTCCAAAATTTAGAAATGGTAAAGAATCACTTTGTGTTGATACATGGAGCAAGCTATGGTGCATGGTGTTGGTATAAAGTTTCAATCCTTCTAAAATCATCTGGTCATGATGTTACAACTTTAGACCTGGCTGCTTCTGGTATCAATCCAATCCAGGTTCAAGATGTTTCTTCCATATTAGATTACAATGAACCTTTGTTAACATTCATGGAGTCTCTTCCTTCACATGAAAAAGTGATTCTTGTTGGTCACAGTTTTGGTGGAATCTCCATATCTCTTGCTATGGAAAGGTTTCCTCACAAAATATCTGTTGCAGTTTTTGTTGCTGCTTTTGTTATAAGTGAAAATCTCACTTACCCCGATATTCATCAAGAGGTACTTTATTTTTCTTTTATTTTCCTTTTTCTCATGCTTTATTTTGTTCTCTATTGTAATTTTCTTTACATATTTAAAATGAATTTATTTTATTATCGTCTATGTGCAGCTTATGAGAAGAAGAGAGAAAAAAAAGGATTGGTCTATGGATACAAAACGTTTCTTTTTTAATGGAAACAATAACCCTCCAACAGCTTTATTATTTGGACCCAAATTTATGGAATCTCAATTGTTCCAATTATCACCACCTGAGGTAAAAATCAATTTCAATTAAATTTTAGGTGTTTGTAAGTTATTATATCTTAACAAAAATAGTTAAAAAATTCAACAAACATGTAGGATTTGACGCTTTCATTAACGTTGGTAAGACCTTTTCCTCTTTTCAACAATGAAGAATTGTTTCTGAAAGAATCAAAAGTTAGCAAGGAAAAAAATGGAAATGTGGCTAAAGTGTTCATCATCAGCAAAGGCGACATATCGTTGATAGATGATTTACAAAGTTGGATGATTGAGAGAAGTGGTCCATATGCTGAGGTGAATGAGATAAATGATTCTGATCATATGGTCATGTTCTCTAATCCTAAAGAACTTAGCTCTCTTTTACAAAAGATTGCAGACAAATATTAATTTTATATTTTTCTGTGTAGTTTTAAATTTTTTATTTTAAAAAGAAAAAACTATCAATAAATTTGAGTTTGAATTTGCAATATTTTGTTGATTAATATTTTATGATAATATCATTGCATTCTTTAAGATGTGTGCAAAAACGTTAAACGACATTCATTTTGAAATGAAGGGATTAATTTTTTAAGGTCCCTAGGCTACGCTTGTGGATGTTGAGTAGGTTTATTGATGTTACTTTTGGATATTTACTCCCGAAAAATAAATGTACCATTTTTTATTTATAGAAATAGAAACACATGGTGATTGAGTACTAAGGTAGGTTTATATACCAGTGAAGTGTCATGTATTTCACGATACCTGAAATGAGCTTACACTTTAGTGATAATGCTGCCCTGATAATTGCCATATATGCGTTGATTAAAATTAAATGCTCTCGAGATCGATTTTCATCAAAAGTTGCAAGGCGAGGGGGTTTGAAGTTTTCTAGGAGGAGCCATCTCAAATGCCTCTGATCAAAGTTTTCCATAATCCTGTTTTTGCGCTCATATCTCTCTATACTTTTATTTTGACTTAAAAAATTAATCGTAAAGATATAACAAAACCAAAAAAATATTAAAATAATAAAAACATGACTTCGATGGATTGCCTCCCATCAATCACTCGTTTAAAGCCATTAACTTGACAATCATAGTCACCCTAGTTAATGTGAGTATTTTATATTCCACACAATATTGATTTTCTTTTTTAAGACTAGACCGTCACTTTTCAAAGAGAACGAGATTACCTTTTGCACTAGGTTTCTCAATATTTCCATAACACTCTTTAGATATGTATTTTTTTCTTAACTTTTGGAGTTACTGCATGAACTTTTATTTATCGGGAGAGCTCGTGGTGCTCTTTGTTCATGGAATTCCACAAACTTAAACATTTCTAAGGCCTCTTATTCTTTGTGACTTTCTTTAACAACATCAAATAGTATACAAGAGACTCTTTCAGGTGAAATATTTTGAGTATGGATTTCATTTTTATTTTTAACGAAAAAGTTGATCATGTATAATTGGTATAAATATTCTCTGTCTTCTTTCTACTTCATGGTTTTGAGCAATCTTAATTCCACCACCTTGTTGTATACCTTCAGAGTTAACACACCTTGTTTTTTTATATGATTGACTGGTCTTCAAAATCTTTATCTTTTTTAGGAGACTCATATATTTCCATCACCCTTTCTATGATCCCGAGAGATGTTTAACCATCACGTGTTACCTTTTCTCTTTGTTTTTCTTCAACAACATTTTAAATTCTATTTGCAATATCATTTATACTACCTTACTCTCTTGGATTTATCACTGTGTTTCTGGAAAGGCTCCAATGAGCTTGTTTTGAAAATTGTTGAGCTATCAGACCAAGCTCTATTTCTCAATTCCTTATTGACATTGAAGTATTCTTATGACCATTCCTTATTTCTTCTAGAAATGGGATACTATGAGTAGCCATTTTTTCGACAGATATTTCCCAATTTTCTTTCTTAGGTGGATTAGAAAATGATTTTGCTGACATTCTTGGTATTGTACTTAAGGGTCTTTTTGTTGGTATTTTCAAGAGAAGTTAGAATGGTTTCTCCATTAAGAACTTTAAGGGCTTGAGTATGGAGTTCCTTTTTGATGTCTATTTTGATTGTTCACTAATTCCATCTAAATTTTATTACTTAGATGAGCTTCATAATACATGGTGGAGGGAGGTCATCCACACACTTCAAAACCTATGTTGTTATTATGGAAAACTTGACCAACTTGAAATTTTACCTTATTTAGTGTTTCCATTATTCTCTTAACTTCAATTGATATGTGTTCCTAAAATTATTTATTGTTATCCACTAGCTTCATATCAATGACACCATCTCATATAGTGGAGAATCTTTCATACAACTCTAAATGCTCATTTGAAACAATAACTTGTACCGGTAAAAAATTACAGGGTGTGCGTGTACCATATTCAATAATAAGATGACTCATAGGCTGTTGTAGTTATATTACAATTTCGGTAGCTGTAGCTTGCTCACGTTGCGAGAATCCATATAAGGTGGTTTCAAATCTGTTTAAGGGACTAAATCACATGAGGTGAGAGGCCTTGTTGGTGGCTAACACTACTGGGTTACAGGTGGACGATTAGGTTAAGGGTGTGTGTGAAGGCTACTGGGAGCATATTTCTCTTCGAGTAGTGGAGAATGTGTATGACATGAGAATTTGTGTATCCCATTGAGGGGTACTATATTTATACGAGTCCCTACTGCTAAGGGTTTTTACCTCATCGACATGACCTTAACCGCCTCCTTCTACTGAGGGAAGTTATTAGCTGCCTATCTTCTTGGAGTAAGCAGGGACTTTCTCTCGCTTTAATCCCATGTTGGTGGGCCCTTTTGAACGACTCCCTGGGATTCCGTCTGGGGCTATCACAATTTATAATTTATAAGATTCAATTCTCAGCTATCACAATTTATAATTTTATTTGTTTATAAGTGTAAACAAAATGTTCTAACCCTTCAGTTTTCTATTTAACCGATGTATAAAATAATAATCTTTTACTATAAAAACACTCGTTGATTTTTTTTTACCCTAACCCTTACTTATATGAGGTCGCCTCAAACTCGCAAGCATCATTCTTTGGGATGGATTGCAAGACTGAAAAAAATCTTCAATGCTCTTCTATCTTGAACAAAACATTTTTCCAGCCCTTGCAATCTACCTCACATAATGGTGTTGATATTGTTGTTGTTATCATTTTTAGAATAATCCTCAGTTAAAGAAGGGTACTCAGATGATAGAGTGCAAGTACTGGAAACTTTCTTGCTTCAAGCTACCCAAATAAAGGAGCTTAATCAACAATAAAGTGAGCCCAACCTTTGAAAAGAGCTCAATTGATAGATTGTAAGTTCAGAAAATCATTCTTGCTTCAAGTTCAACAAAGAATGGATCTTAACTAACAAACAAGGGAACTATCTCAACCTTTAAAGAGTACTCAGTTGATAGATTGCAAGTGCATAAAATCATTCTTGTTTCAAAAAAAAATATTTTAGTGGGTATGCAAAAAACTTTGGATATCACCAAAGATTTGTTGTAAAAAATGTTTTCTTAATATTTTGTGTAAACGATGTATTTTAAAAAAAAAAGAAATAGTCGTCTCGGTTTTCTTTTTCACCGAGGTGATAATTAATATAAATCCGAGGTGGTTAGTAAACATATTTTACTTTTAATACAACTGTTAAATAGATTTTACCCTAATATTATATTATATAAAGTCGCCCTAAAGAGAGGAAATATTCTCCACCGTTCATTTCTATCATGAGTTGCTATTACAGAATTTACAATATATTTTTAATATTATGTATAAACAATGCAATAAAAAAAACAGTTTATCCACCTCGAATTTCTTCTTGGCCGAGGGGATAGTTAAACATTTTTTTTACTATTCGTCCTTAAATAACTATTAGACGTCCATTTAATGTTTATCAATGGTCAAGAATCTGCCATTAGTGATCCGCGTGAAACACCATAATAGACATTCGTTATCAAATCATACAGAATATTGAAAATCTAACCTAAATGAAACATGAAGCGCTTGAAACATAAAAACTTTTGGAAAAGTTTTCTATGATGGATTGCAAGAGCAGAAAATTGTTTGGGTTTAAGGTTTATTTTTTTAAATATTTATTTGAGCATAAAATCATATATTTGATTATTGATTTTATTCACCTAACTCTTATTTTGTTTTGTTTCAGAATCAGATGCATGCAAAATCCGAAGAGACAAACCTTGTACCTAACATTTGATCTTCTCCATGATTCAATAATTTGAAGATCTAAAATCTAGATCTTCAGGGAATTTAATTTTTACCTTGTTCTCTAGGGAATTTGATTTTGATTTTAAATAATATAATATTATGAGTAAACAATGTAATATTCTGTGTAAACAATAAGAAACTATCTAACCCCTCAGTTTTAAAGATAAACCGAGATAAAATATACACTAGTTTTGAAAATAATAAAAGTGTTGTTGGTGGAGTTCGAACCCATGTACATTTAACTTTACCTCTCAGTTTTAGTAACTCTGAGGTGATAAGGTGTGAGTTATCATGTTGCCGTTCATTACCTCACTTCTATAGTTGAGGTATTATGTATTTCGCGTCCGAGGTAACAAGCGTTTTTTGTAGAAGTGGCGATTCGCTCAGCCAATGGACGAGTAAACTAATAGGCAAGTCCCTAAGCCAAAAGGCATATGAGCGCTTGGGGGAAACGTGTCTGTTTTGAGGTGACTCGACGAGATATCTAAATATTAGTCATTTTGGCCAGATTGAGTGTTCGAGGGGAAGAGGCATGAATAGCATATAATGCACCTCATGATGGTATTTCTCGAGAAGACAAATCAGCTTCCTCTATTCACATGTGGCATCCATACATGGAGACTTTCCTGCTTCTAAAACCAACCTATTGGTGAACATGTGAGCCCACTTCTTTTGGATTCTATATATTTTCATAAGCATTGTTTCGCTTCTTCTTCCTTCTTTATAAAAACTTTCTACATCAAACTTTATTTTCTTCAACCTTTACTTTCATCGACCATGGTAAGGAAAACTACGTTCATCCACGTGCGAGACATAACTTATTTATATTCTGATGTGGACATGATGCACAAGTTTTGTCATGAAATCAACTTTTCCAGCACAAGACAAGAGAGATATGTTCTCATGGAGCATACCTCTAAGGTTGAAAGGGCAGACATGAACACTTCTGGTGATCCATATTATCTATGATTTAGGGGTTCTGGTTCCTTTCTCTTCTTTTGAAATAAAGTTCTTGACCACCGTAAACGTGGCTTCTTTTCAAGTTATTCCAAATGTTTGGAGTATACTTAGGGTTTTCCAAATAATCTGTTGCAAGTTATATTTACCGTGAGGGTGGATTCATAGGTTCTTTCTCATTTGGACCGTGAACACCCCTATATTAGAAT